TATCGTGACAATCCGGCAAAGGGACAAATTGAGGCTTCTTTTCCCCGAGTTTGTTTCACTTTTACAATGCAAACAAATTTTTCTTCAAAAGATTCGGCCACACAACCGACAACCCCGCAGAGTAGTGGCAATTTACACTCGAAATTGTTGTTTTATGGCTCTGGCGATGTCATCAAGCATAAAAAACATACAAAAGCAAACCACTGCACTGATCAATAGTTTGGTAAACATTAATCGTGATTTGAGTACAAGTTAGACTTTCGAATAACATGACAGTGTAAACATGAACAATATTATGGTGCGAGATAACACGTGATCTAATGAGAGAAGCAACGCAGACAATGTATCATTCGTCGATGATGACGAAAAAGCTTTTCTGACGTCGAAATGCAACACGCGCTGAGATGAGCAGTCCAATACCTCGCTGATGAAAAGATGTTCGCTCTTCGTAAGATACATAGCCTACGGTCAAGAAAGCGAACAACGCACTTAATACAACAATGAAAATCGGCAACATTGAGATGTCAACTGTCAACGCCGAGTCAGACAGTCATGAATAATCGAATAGTGCATGTGGTGGACCATGACGCTGCACTTTGTCCTCTTTCGCCTCAGCTCCGCATGCTGTCTAGTTCAGACTCAGGATCTGGAGGACAGTTGCGGTCGCTCATTTTCTCCTAACGTTGTAATGATTGTCTCGCCTCAGTTGTCGTCCATCTGTACAGAAAATGAAACGATGCAAGCGGCGATATCCCGTTGCGCAATTCTACATACACTTTTACACCTTCTGGTATATCCTTCAATGAGGAAAATCTGCGATGTCTGCAATATATTTTGTACATTGACACGTGATCGATGAGTAAACAGGTTTAACTGCTTGTCGAAAAACAAACTCATACCGTGGTACAGTTCATTATATGCTAGTGATTAGAATGTTACCATTTATGCACAAATAATGCATTAAAGAATGACTGTATGTATCTTGTAGAGAAAAGGATCGTTTTCCTGAGTGAAGTACTAGAGTGTAAGCCCCTTTGCTGCCATGGTCGTCTCGATAGCCTATCTTGGACTTCGAAGCGGTGGGATAAGGTGGAACTGTTATTCAGCGGATGACGATTCTCCTTTGTGCGCGAAGGAGACAACAGCTAACATGTTCTTAATGCCATTCCGTCGTGTTCTTTTATGGTGGGGCAAGTCGTGAGCGTTTCTTATGATTTTTCAGCCTCGGAGTCCCCATTGCTAAAAATAGGCACAGATTAAAGTACGCAATCGCAGAGGAAGGCAAGGTACGGTAGAATGTTTACCTGTTACAATTGGCCACAAAGCCTTATGATCTCGAACCGCTTGCTCAATGATTCTTTGGTAAAAGAGATTGACAGTGCTTGCTACGGCTACAGGCCGGAGTGAAGGACTGAGGCCACTGTTCTTGCTAATTTTCGAAGAAAACGTGTAAAAACTTGTTCTAACAGTGCCATCTACTTCTATCATCTGAATAGGGAACGACGTCTCATGGGCAAGTTGGAGGAATGATGAAATGGAAAAGTGTCTGATGAACGATGATGCATCTAAATGAAGAAAATGACATCTCATAGGGCAAAGCAGTAAAAGCATTGTAAATTCGGCCTATTAGACAGCGTGAACTTGTGCATGATGCCGTTGCCGTCGTAGCGCTGAACAGTGGAAGCAGTATATGATATCTTTCACAAGTTAAAGTGCTGCGCAGCTCTGCCTATCATCACCAAACAGTGCCTTAATATCTGAAAACTATTTTATTGTTTAGGACTATTTTTGTTTGTAGTCTCATTCTTCCTTTTTTGTTATAAAACCTATTTATTTACCTTGGAAAAATGAAATGGAACAATCCGGATCAGAATTTGGACCAGCGAACTTCCCTTTTATCACGCTGTTTTCATTAACCAGAAAAACGGTTCTTTGGTTTGAGATCGAAAAGACAGGATTACATTTATGCTGTACGAATAATAAAATCCTGAAATGGAAAGAAACGACCGTCATTCGCATTACTCATCAAATAGGTCTGGAAAAGTGGCGAGAAAGCGCATATCATATCGCGAACGTCGGAAGATGAGTACGTTTGTGGTTCCAGTAAGTAGTTCGGTGCATTCAGCTGCAGACTGGTACGGAAAACTGTTAGAGACAACTAAACATGAAGAAATTAAGTCAAAGATTGGCGGTCAGGGAACGACATACTTTAGCAATCAAAGCAGAGTCAAAATACGGAAATGTCATCAGGGACAGGCTACCGATTCTAAAGAGAGTTGAGGATTTCTATAGATAACTTTGTCAAGAAGACCGCAACACCCTTGGTGACGATAAGGAAGTTAAAGACATTATTGAAGTTGACGGAAATCCGGATGTCCATCCAGAAGAAGTGCTACATGCAATCAAACAGGTGAAGCGAGGAAGGGCTTCTGGAGTTAACAGTGTTACAACGAAATTCATTAAAACAGGTGGTAAAGCATTGACAAGATATTAGCGCGCTTATTTTCCCTTTGAAGTAACTGGAAATTCCAAGTAATTGCACTACCGCGTTGGTGATTCTGTTTCACAAAAGGGGAAACAGAGAGAATTAAGAATTTGAAGTCTAATTAGTTTGTTTTCAATCATCTGCAAGATCTCCAAAAACGTTTTGACGAAGAAAGTTCTAGAAGAAATGGGACTCTTTTCAGCCAAAGTAGCAAGCAGGATTCAGACGTGGATTTAGTATGATCGACTATCTTCAAGTGGTAAAACAAGTGAAACAAGTGCAAAGAATAATTGCTTTCTCGTCGCTTGGGATTCATCGATTTTGATTATGCTTTCTGTTTAGTCTTCAGACGATCTGTATTGTAAAGCCTAGGGGAGCCGAGAAAATGCACAGAAATCTCATCGCAATGATTTACAATAATGTAGTAGTTCGTGTAGTGCTTCACGAAAACAAATTCAAAAAGTTTTGAAACGGAAGCGCTTTGGATTGAAACAACAAGCTAGTTCAAATCATAACACTAGTTCAGAAACCTTGAGTTCAAATTGCATTACCATCGCTGACCAAACTCGGTGAGTTCCGCTCTTACCTTAGGCAACTACGTATTTAGTAGTTTACAACCTGTTAGCTCAGTTGCTGTGAACGAAGCAGCGCGGTGTTGCTTGATAGCAGCTGCCGGCTGGTTACGACGTTTTAGGCAATGATTCGATGGTGAGCGCCTGGTTGATTAAAGAGAAATCGAAACTGCTCACTCGTCGTCGTTTCGAAATAAGTTCACTCAAGCCGGTTTTCGAGTTGTCCGTTCCAGTTGGGATTTGAATCCAGATTAAATTCAGAATCCCTGCGGCCAGAGGTGACGGCAAATTATTACGAGACAAGTCGTATCGTATTCGATTGCCACATCAAAATTCACGGAAGCTCGTTGTGATTATTCCTCCACCTGATTCAGACCCGGACGAGCTGCCGTTGTTACCTGCAACGATGTACGGTTGTCAGCGATCGTGGACGCTCGTTTTATCGGCGTTGGTCGCTCTCGTAGCGGTTTGCAGTGCTGATGAAGACTGTCGAAGCCACATCAAAACTTACCTTGAATGCGATGCTCAGGTGAAGGATGTGAAAGACGAAAATCTGCCGAAGGCAAGACAGTTTTTGAAGAGGATCGAAGACTGCTTCTTAAAGTATCCATTGCTGGTTGATAATATGCTTTGATTGACTTTCTTAGCTCTCGGGACAGTTATATGCGAAGCGCAAATGTCGGTGTCCCGTCGATGCTGTATCACTTCTTGAACTGATTAGCATCTTGAATCCAAATCGAACTCGTACTGAATTTAGTTGTTCAAGCTGATTACTTGGGAACGTACTGGATTTTATAATCATGCGTTGGGATTCCAAATGGGCAAAATATTTCGACGACAGTCATAATCATGTATAAACTGTACTGTGCCACTTCCTTTGAGATTAAAATTTTGATTTTGGAAATGAGCTCGATGTTGGCTTAGACTTCGAGATGTAGCAGAGCAGACCTCGAACGTTAGGAGAGCCGGTGAGAGGGATGAATTTGCAGCAAACGTAACCTTACGAATTTTAGATTATCTGAACATGCAATTACAGTCAAAGTTAGAAAGTAGTCAGTCTGCATAGTTACATATTTAAGTGCTAAATTTTCAATAGCATTTTTGCCTCAAATTTGTAATGACCGTCGGAGTTATTAATTGTTACCTGTTAGCAGTTATAGTCCATTTTCCTGATTAATGCTAATCCTGTCCTGTCCAGAAAGTAGTTCATACCAGCGTCAACGGCTTCATTAAAAAGGTACAAGAATTTCATTTAGATGCATGAATACATGAAAATTACTAACGTAGGCAGCTGCAGTTTTTGAGCTGATGTCAATAGTCCTAAAATGTGCTAGTTGAACTTTAGTGACCACTACCTCAAGCATTTTCCTGCTGATCACAAAACTGCCTCAGTTCCTACTTTGGCATCATATGTTGTGTTCTCGAATGAAATGGGCTGCGCTACACAGTCTATACGGCAGAACTGAAATACAAAAGTCATTTATCCCCAGTTGACTAATCACGCAGGGTTAGTTTCTTTTTGTGAGAACTGTTTCTACTTTTGTGAACTAGAATCAAGAGAAAATAGTTTTACTCTTGAATAATTTCGTAAACGTTTTTGATGGCAACGTTGTCACGCCCTATTAAACCAATATTCTTGATCTTCATAACACTCCGCAATGCTGACGTCGTATACGCTGAGAACAAATGCGCCTTTCTTACAAGGAATTACCCATTGGTGTTCAGAATTTGCACAGTTTGCCAATTAGCCATCGTCTGGCTGGCGATGATTCGATTGCCTGACACAGCACTGTGAGCCGTGCGTCAGCATAACGACGTTAGAAACGTTTCTTGAATTTAATTCACGGCTCTTCGCTGTCTGCAAGTTTTGCTTTAATTTTCAACATTTGCAAACTGAGCAGAACTAGTTTTGCATAGCAGTATCGCAGTCGAAAGCTTATCCCAAGTAAGCTGTGGCGATGAGGTAGCATTATGCACCATTTCATTAAATGGCATTTCTACACACTCCAAATCTACAGGCTTGGAAAGTGGGAAAAAATGAGGACATTTGTTGGAAATTTCTGCCAAGGACTGGGATCATTTTCAAAACTGAATCGCGATAAGATCATCATGTGATCAGAGGGTTGATGGCACGATGTGCAGAAAGTTCTAACCCTTGCTTCTGAGCGATTCCGTAAATGGCCTACTGATACTATCGGAAGGATGTTCAAAACTGTTATGTGAGTAGGACTACAAGTCAACGCTGAGTTGACGAAGTTTGCGAAGTCGCGCCCTGCGACTGTCACCATGAAGATACCATGGCGTAGTATGAGAATGGACAAGGTGAACCTTTTCAATTACTTCAGATTTGCGCTGACTAACGATAGCAATATTGATGCTAAAATGAACCGGCTATTTGGACTGACCAGTTGTATACAATATAGAAACATCGAACTTTAAAAAGGCTAGGACGATCACCATTCTGAAAGCAGTCGTATTCGCGGTGCTACTGTACAGTATCTGCTGTCCTCTGAAGCGTCATGATGCTTGTCTAAACAGCTGTGTGAGAAGTGTCCTCAAAGAGTAACAGTATCAGCAGGTTATAAACAGCCTATGCTGATGACAATCAATCTAAGAAAATCATCAGATGAACTCGGAGACAAGTACCTGGTTTGGTGTGATAAAACGGCCCAAAAAAGAACTTTAATGTTTTCCAAACCCGTGAAACTTGGAAACCTTTCACTGGTCATAACCACGTTGGAGGACAATATAAAACGTCCTTATTGAAACAGACTACCTGCAAAGAAGGATATGACCTTTGCGGCAGCAGTTACCATTGCTTAGTATTAATCTTAGGTACTGTTTCTAACAGTAACACATCATAAATCAAGGTTAATCTGCTGTTCAAGTTCTGTTAATTTCGGATGATGGCGGTGAAACAATAATGACGACCTCGCTTGTATTATCACATATCGAACGCTGCAACAAATTTGCGTTCAACCTCTCTGATGATACAACATTCGCCTCGATAGCGTGTAACTGAACAGATTGTAGATTTAATGCGAGTGAGCATCACGGTTTCTTGTGCTACGAATTTGTCATATTTGGACGAGTTTTGCGATTCAAGCTGACGTAAATAAAGTAATGAAAATAGATTAGTTTGCACATGATAGTTATTTCCTGTTCTCGCTGTTTCAATTCTGCTAGCAATTATTTTAAATTTTTCACATAGCTTGTTTGTAGAAGTAAGTGCATGAACGAGAAAGACGTCGCTCTCGCTACTCAAAACATTTCTGTGGAATTTCCTGAACACTGCGTCGATGGTTTAAAACGGGAGGCAAACAGAATCCAGGAACAATGCTGGTCGAAATATTTTACCACATCGACATCGGTTCTGAAACCAGTCATTCTCTCCATAGATCCTCCGCAGGACGAGCTCATAAATTTCGATCGAGTTATCGATCCAGACATAGAGTAAGTTGATTATAAATTCAAATCTTGTAATCATTTTCTGATTTATGTGCTGAGAAACTTACTTTGGCTGCCAATTTAAATTCTTCAGTCAATTCTAGTTTTGATCTGAAGCAAATATACAACAAACAACGGTGACGGCATATAGCAGCGACACAGATCAGAGTACATTCATTCAGAGTAATACCAAAGCAAGATCATTTGAAGAGAGAATCATCTGAACCGTCAGAATTGTTCCGCATTCGAAATGTCAAATCCAACTGATAAAATCATGGCAGAAGCAAAATCGAGATCAGCTACAAGTTTAGTCAATCACAGTTCCTGGTTTTCACATGCTCAGCGCTCCTGCAAAACCGGGTTTTATGGCACCAGCTATCGTTCCTCGCTTTTACGTTTGTTTATGCAAACACGATTCCATAGTGGTTGAGCACCAACAGTACACAGATGTGTGCCGTTTCATCCTATAAGATAGACAGTACTGATATGATGTGGTGATGATGGGACGATATTACGTCGACCAATTAGATGATGTGATTCTGCTGCTAAAATATCGCTGATTGCTTAAATTTTACACTAATTCTGTAATGGAAAGGAACCATGCCTTATTCCGAGAAATCTAGTTTTGAGGAGTTAAACTTCATGAGACAAACTTTGCAAAATTGTGCATGGAAACAGCATTACCGTCATTAATCAACTCTTTATTGCAAAACAGAACCAGCAACATCAGTCAGGTTTGCTAAGTGGTGCACATCGAACTAAGGACATTGAAACAACCTTCAGATACTTTAAGATACTTGAACTAGCAATATAACAAGAGTCGAGCAATTGACAGCAATGACAGAAGGTGCGGCGATGCAACCGCTGACGAGAGTGTTTAAAAAAATGTCGCAAAGCCGTGCACCACGCAAACTGACGTATCCAGTACATATCGCCTTTAAAGAAGCACGCTAACACGCTCTAAAAGTTCATAGTCAGTTCTGAAACCGAATCGAAAAATGTCGCTTTCATTACTTCAAGCTGTTAACGGTTCGTATTTCTTTCCCCAGTCATTCATCAGGCAGCTGATTTTGAACGCCCTACTTGGCAGCTCGGTGACTGATTCGAGTTCGAGATTCTAGAATAACCGCAACATTTCAGACTAACTTGTTTTTGTACGTCGCATGACCGATTTTTTATGGTCTTGCTATAGTAATTTCGTTAACAATATTGTTGTTGTTGTAGTTTCACTGCTATTTAATTTTTTCATCCGCACACTTTTTGTTACTTATAATGCAGGGCAGATTTCTTGGCGTTCTTGTTCAAGCAACCAGCTTTCAATTTCACTTTACACGCTTGCGAAGGGAAACACTGTCAAATGATGACAATATCTCTAAACGAATGATAGTTTATTCGGTAATTTAGTAAGATTAGTGCTTTTGTGCATGCATCTTTGCTAAAAAGAATCTTAGCTGTTTATGGCATGCAAAGTAGAGTCGGAACAATATGAAATTGCTTTACAACTAAGTTACATAAATACTTATTAATAATCAAAAAAATCGAGTGAATTCAGGGTACTGTATAACGAAGCGGCTTACGACGCTCTACTTGGTATGAACGACCTGCGAAACGCGAGCAGTTGTTCGCCGGGGAAACAACGGCAGATAAAAGACTGTTTAATGGCAAATTTCGACGAAATTGCCAAACAGTGGAAAAATCCAAACGTGTTTATCCGAACGATGGAAGCAGAAAAGCGGTTCAACACATTTTGCAAGGATCACCAAGCCTGTTACGCGTCGTAATTCCGTTTGTAGCAGATG